TTTATATTTGTTTTACAATTTTTGTATGATTGCTGCTCAAAGGTTGTTGATCTTTCATATAAAGGCATATTTTACAGTCTCTAAACTTCAGTTAGCGATTAATCTATCACTAAATTAGTGGAAAATTATTACAATAATCGATTAATCACGAAGAGGAATTTGTGAACTCATGTCGATTAGGGCTCAAAATAATGAAGTTAAATTCCAAATACACTCAATAGTAAAACAAATAAAAAGTCAAAATCATTTCCCAAAGACATTTAAAAATTTTGTTTTTTCATGTTTTATGTCCTTTTTAACACTAACAAATTGAAATGAAAAGGATGGGAATTACCAGTTTGGGTACGACTAAATTATAAAGATTTTAAATTAATTTAATGATGTACTGGTGGTCAATTACAATGTAAAATGAAAATAAACAGATTAAAAGCTAATTTTAATTTTTATCTAACCCTTGCATCATTGCATTGGAGAATAAATTGGATTTTTAATATTCCATAAGCTCTATATGAATAAGTAGAATTAAACAATTAAAAACAGACAGATGGGACACAATTTGTAAAAGTAAAACCTGTAATTTTTACTAATTACAATTAAGAAATTGTGTTCAGCCATTAGCTTCACATATGGCTTGTTATCTTAAGTCAATCTTTACACATTGCTATGATTTACACAGAGAGTATTTATGTTAGAAATTTGTAAAAAAAATAAATACATTCTCAAAACATTTAATAATTTACACTTTGATCCATTTTTTTATGGGAGCTACAATTTGTTTTATTTTGAAAAAATCTCAGTAATCTGGTCTGAATAGAAATATTCAGCACAAGTCAGCGAGTAGAGAGAGATTCCACTTTTACTGAATTTTAAAGTCTGCTTAAATGTACTTTTTTTTATTATTTTAAGCTTGTTAAAGCCTAATTTTAGTTTAAGCATCCATGGGAAATGTATTATTTCAATTATCTGTAAGGAGATATCCATTAGGTTTCAGTCTGCTCTCATAAATTCTTTTTTCTTCAGAATGGATGAGTTGCGGCACCGTCTGATTCCGCTGTACACCTACGACCCGGCAGAAGCACAGGAAGACTGGGGAGATTATGACAACGATACGGAGGAAGATCTGGCTGTAAGAAAAACACTCAATCCTGTTTTTTTAATGCAGTGCAGTCAAATTAAACAGTTCTGTTATTAAAGTCTCAGATGCTGTTGTCATTGGCATAAATACAGTACTTATTTTGCACTTTTAATGCATTTAAAGTGTTTTTGGGAGGATGGGATAACTGTAGAAAACACAACTTCTATAAGTATAAAACAATAAACATCCATACTTTATCACATGTAGCTTAATTACCATCAGGGAGGTTCAGGTTTCATTCTGGCTGGATATTTCCACCTCTACTTCACCTTTATTTATTTCAGAAATAGAAAAATGTTTTTAAATTGCTTGGTCCATCTTGTGAGGGATTAGACTTTTAAGCATACACTGCAAAAAATCAACATCTTGATAAGTCATTTTTTCTTAAAATAAGTGCATTTGTTCTTGAATTGAGGAGATAAAAGATACATCTTGCCAATGGAACAAGACAATTTAGATTTTAAATAAGAAAACACAATTGCATTGTCTTATTTCAAGTGAATATTATCTAATTATCTTATTCTAAGAGTAAAAATACTGATTCCATTGGCAAACAACCTCATTTACCTACTCAAATCAAGGGTAAATACACTTAATTTAAGAAATTTGCACTTATTTCTAGATCGTTTTTCCAGTGTAATCCATGATCTTTTACCAAACTGGATTTCTAAGTCGTTTGATGAGTGCAATGCCAGGTAAGGTTAACTCGTTCAAAACTGTTTTGAATAGTTTTTAGGATCCCCTCCTGTTTCTAGCAAACATGACAGTGTGGGTTTACAATTGGGGGATTTTCTCAGGCATGGTGGGGGCAGCGTAAACCCACATTTATCCCACTTATCACTCACAGAGCATCATTGAACCGCAAAAAATTTAAATCTTAATAAGTCAATTTTTCTTAAAATAAGTTTATTTTTTCCTGAACTGAGGAGGTACGTGAGACACTTTGCCAATGGAACAAGACAATTTACATTTTAAATGAGAAAAAACTGTTGCATTGTCTTATTTCAAGTGAGTTTTATCTAATTATCTTATTTTAAGAATAAAAATACTCATTCCATTGGCAAATCCTTTTACTTACCTACTCAAATTAAGAGTAAAAACACTTAATTTAAGAAATCTTTACCTATTTTTCTAGATTGTTTTTGCAGTGTGAGCGTTAAAAGGAATCATTAAAAAGAACCTTGTATCTACCCCACCTATTAAAGACTGGAAGCTGCAGGAACATTACTACTACTGTCAGAGACGTGCACAGACATTTTGGGGGGCAGGTGCTCAGGAGGGGGGGAGGGCACTTTTTTATTGTCAGAATTCAGTCAGAATTCTGACTTTAATCTCAGAATTCTGACTTTTTTCCCATACTAAACTGAAATAAAATTTAAAAATCAGTTAACTTATTTTTTTTTTCAGTGGCCCTAATCCTCTTCCGTAGGTTTGCAATTGCAAACTCTACCGAAATTATTTGTAGCCTATGTGGTCGTCCTCACGTTATCTGTCACTGACTTGGGCTACAGTGTAAAACTTTCAGAATCAGGTTTATT